AAAGCCAGCTGGGGAGACAGTGGTTTTTGTGGGGGTTGAGCACTGTCCTTTCAGAGTTGGACCCTTTGACCCATTAACTGATGTGAATCGCAGCTCCCAGGTGTATGTGTTTTCCTGACATTGCTGATCTGTTTTCATTCTCAGCCAGAGACCTAATGGGGGGAGACTGGGTATTCCTTGAGCTCTATCCTGGTTTACCAATCTTCCAGCTTCCTTTTAAAAGTTTTCCTCCAGATGCCAGGACCAAGTAATATCCTCCATTTCTGTGTATTTTATATAACTCTAGGCTGTTTTCCTACTTTGACCTGATGGGTGCTAATTGCCTATAGAAGTGTTATCTGATATCAGCTGCTCAGGCATGATGGGAGCTGTTCAAGTCCTTCTTGACTCTGAGGCCGTTTTGGATTATTCCCACTATGTGCAGTCTGAGTTATTCATAATCAAGACCCAGTGCTCCATGAATTTTGGCATGCCGGTAGGTTTTTCTCTTCCCATAATAGTATGTGTGACAGGAACAGGAGAAACAACTGGATAAAAGAGGCAGAGAAACAGATTTTTTTACACATATCAAAGTAAGGATTATTTTTTAAATGCCTGTGTTTGAGACATTTTGTTGCTGTTTCTGCAGTTATTTTTGAGAACTATTCTGTATTTCTAGGAGTGTGCTTGAATCAGAAGAGCTGAAATATGGCATTGGCAGCATGTAGATTTTGATTCACTCCTCTCACTGGCGAAGTCCGCCTCTCCCTATGCAATGCTGAAGGAATATATTCGTGCTCATGGTAAGTGACTAACAAGTGAAATGAGAGAATGATGTTGGCTCTCCCCTTTTCACTTCGTGTTTATGAAATACTTGCTAAAGAAATAACCAACACCATCATTTTTAAAAATATTTTTCTTCTGAACATTCCATGTGATGGTTTTCAGGTCGATTGCTAACTAACTTGCACAGGGAGACTGATATTGAACAACAGGAATAGAGTGTAAGAAAATCTACTGAACTGCATTTTTTTGCTTCCATTGACTCTGTTCACCCTCACAGATGTGGCCACAACTTTTCAACTGATAAAATGGAAGAAACTGAGATACTTTTAAATGAAATTAATGCACTTGTCTTCTTCTCTGTGGAGACTGTTTGTTTAGATGTAGGGAGAAATAAGCATAATAGGAATGTTTTTCTACTTCCAAGTTGAAAGCTAATAGGCCGTGCCACTGCAGTAGAGACGTGTAAGATTAAGCAAATAAATCATGCCATTACCCAGCAAAATATGCTCTGAGTAAAACAACTGGTTTTGAACACTGGACTTGCCAAATGTCAGCAAAACCCAGACAGGTGACTTGAAATACAATCTTACTTTAACGAGGCACTTGTAAAGAGTTCTGTTGATTTGTTTCAAGTATATATTTACTATCTTGTGCCAGACAATGCAGATTTCCAGGCTTTGAGATTAACAAAGACAACAATATTTATCTTATCTGTAATTTGGAGACAATAGCAACATTAAAAATCAAAAGACATGTATTCTACAGAATACAGCTAGCAAAAGGAAATATCTGTGATTTTAACCTCTGCCTTCGGCCTCACTATAATCCTGATGGCTCTCCCATTACGGCCCACAAGCTTTGCCACTGACTTTCACCACCAGAAAAAATGTTTCATACCAAACTCATCATCTTGTTAATGCAGTGAAGTACAAGATCAAGTTGATTACATGGCATTATATCATTTGTTATCTCATACCAGGCAATACACTGGTATCTCTCAGTTTAGTCGTAATGCGTCCTTGTATGTTTTTGCATATGGGAGCAAAGGATCCTTTAGATCCCTTCACAAAACTGATGAGATACCAGAACTACCTCAAGGCAGCAGGCAAATCAGGTAACAGTTTTGCGTGAGCTGAAAGATCAGGATTGTCTCCTCCTTGTCCCATTGTCTCCTCCAGACAATGGGAGAAGGGGCAACGGAGGAGAGACAGGCAAAGATTTCTCCCAAGGAAAATAGACCCTTCCTAGCCCCCTTCCTCAGCACCATGAATCCCTTCCTCTCCCACATTCCACCTGTTCCAAAGCTCTGCTGGATCCCCCAGTTTTTCTCAAGTGTCTGAGAGACCTAAAGAGCTTTGAGGACTCTCCTGATTGATAACTATATAAGAGCAAAGAGAACATTTGTTCATAAGCTGCTGTGGACTCACGTAATGCATCTTTTCCTCTGCCAAATGCTTTCCCCTGGGATTAATACTATTACTGAGAATATTAAAGACATTAATTATTTCTACTTCTGTTTGGTAACTCTTTACAATGAATTTGATGTCTCTTGTTTAAGTAACAGTCATTAAATAAGACAGTGTCTTTTTAGTTGCTGAACACTCTGCTCTCAGTTCAGCCACATTTTAGGACATCTGCCAGGAACGTTCACAGATTTAAAGTTAAGCAGATGCTTAAGTGTTCTTTCTGGATAAGAGACAGTGATTAGAATTTCACAGGACCAACAAATTAGGATCCTAATACATCACTGGATAGGAAGCCATAATTGAACAACACTTATGATGATGTCTAAATTGCTTTCTGGATAAGATTCCTTGCCCATTAATAGTTATATTCCCTATATTTTAAGTAAATGTGAAATAATTAAACTTTAATTAACTACAGAAATGCTGAAAAGCTATAAATATTTAACAAGTTACAGCACAGAATAAATTAGTACTTACAAGGATAGCCCTATATAATTGTTTCTCTTCTTTGCGGATAATGAAATTACTTAATTTACTGCTGACAGGCATGTAAACTACTATTTGGATTCAGAATATATAAGTGGGCAGTGAGAAATGCTATTTAGAAATCTCTGTCTGAAAACAGATAATGTTAGTATTTGGAGACCTTCGCTACATATTTATCCATCTCCTTTCTGCTACAGCTCTACTGGGTATCGAATGTGACAAATCATCACCTTTTAAATTCAGAGCTTTAAGAGTTCAGGGATATTCTAATTTGTGACCTCACTCTGAAGCATTAGAAACAAAGAGAGAATTGGAGAGAGATGGATGCAATCTGTAAAATAAAGAATCTACTTAAAAACTAATCCAACGTTTAGGGGATATTCACAGCCGGGCTTGTGGCTCTAGTAGTGTCTTTACAACCTTTACAGGTTGGTCCCCTGAATTCCTTCAGACTATCCCCCTGTCTTTCCATCCCTGACCCGAGAGACAAAGAAGCCCACAGTTAGCTCTCACCTAGAACACTGGCCTTAGTAAACTTTAAGACCACCTTCTCCAAGACACAATTGATCCTGCCTCAAGGAATCAGAGGACACTCATTGTGCTCCCACTTACAAAGAACCAGGTCCCTTATCACAGCGGTGGCAAGCCATTGGTATCAACAGAAATCTGTGCTGGCACCAACCACATGGTACTTAGTGCAAGACTTTTAACCTTGCATTTGGACTAGACTTCACAAAGTTCCATCGTTACTGATTTACCGGTACAGGTACCTCACTTTCCACTCCCTGCAGGGACATATATGAAATGATACTAGCAGAAAACTGATATGGAGTATGTAAGATGAGCCCTAAATATCTTTACAGAACATGAGATGTGCATGAATATAGATATTCAGTAGGCAATATAGATAGATATTATCCGTCAGTTTGTGTCTGGTTTCCTCTTGCTGATAGAGTGATCACTTTTCAGAGGTGGAACACTTCACTTTTGGTTCTAATAGGCCTTTTATTCATTGACTTCAGTGGTCAATTTGGGACAGCGGTTGAGGATCTGGCCTTACTTTTCACTGTAGCATTTCTTGTAAGATTTCAGATTTAACTTTCCATGAGAAAACACCTCAGGAAATCATGCATTCCTTGTTCTTTTTGAATCTCTGCATATGAGTATCACTATCATTCCCCTAAAACATGTACCCCAAAAGAGAGATTATGCTCAAGGCGCTGTATTAAAAATGCACCTTTTCCAGCTAAAGCTATATTAAAAGTGAACCTTCTCCAGCTATTCCTTTCCTTGACCATAAGCTAGTGCCATTTCACAAATAATAAATGCGTTGGCTGGACTACAGATTAAAGTAATCACATAAAGGCTGTGACCACAGTACATTGGTAATGATGTGCGCAACTACTACTGCTAGTGTATTTCAAAGGAGGTGCCAGTGTAGGCATCTGGGATCCAAGAGTCCTACCATGTGTTTTTGACAAAAGCTGACCCCAGAGTATTTTGGCACTGTTGGATCAAAGCAACAGAGTTCAGTAAATTATATTGGCTAAAGCAAACCAAAGAAAAGCCTTGGGAGGGGGAGAAATCACACAAAGGCATTTTGATTTTGCATTTCTAAAAATATTGCTTGTAAATATACTTGATTTCTACTTTTTTTGGCCTACAAACTTGGCTTCTCTCATACCTTTTGACTGTCTCTGGTACTCTGGTAGAGTATCAGGTACTCTAAATATGTTTAAATGAAAGAGAGAGAGAGACACTAAAGAGCCACTGAGATGTTCTCTTTAATCTAAAATTATTTTTCCCCCTGGTTTGCAGGAACTCTTTATCAGTTAAGCAGTAACATCTGCCTCACTGTTCTCCCTCCTACCCATTACTCACAGTGGCAACAGCCCCCAAAAGTAGTTACTTATGTCATTGTCAGTTAACATGCTCATGAAACATGAGAACTTGAAATCTCATGTATGCTCTAGGCCTTAAATATTTACTATACTGTCTTAGGATAACAAGAACTACAGACATGAGAAGTATCAAGTTTTTAAACCTGAGCTCCACCCAGTTTTGTGTAGGTTCTGCCCTAGACCATTCTCCGTAATACAGGGCAGTGTCACATACGACGGGTACACACTGTATTGGCCAAAACCAAAGAGAATGCTTATTCTGAAGAATCACAAAGATATCTTAGGTCCTTTCCATCCAGATACATATACGGTGAATATTGGAAGACTATCCATCATTCATTCATTTCTCCTGATAAGATATATTCAAGTAAGCTGCATTAGCTTGTTTGTTTTCTTTCTTATTTCTTTCTCCCTCCTTCCCTCACCACCAGGATAACTGAAGGAAGAGAATTAAGGTCTAATCAAAACAGCACTAATTTGATGGAAAATGTCCTCTTAACTTCAAAGATCATTGAATCAGGCCTTGTTATATAAAATGTCTGTGACAGATCTGGGAACTGAACCTACTTATAATTGAACCCCTGTTCAATACCATAATCACTCATTGTAAAAATACAAAAGCACCATCACTATTATATGTCTCCATTAAAATGATCGAGAACAGCATCTATTATGATCATAACTTTCAAAGGAGTTTTTTGTCTAAAAATAACCAACCTTCTAAGAAAGATCCTTGATGCTTGCAATTTTGACTCCCTCAATTGCAGTCCTTAGCTAATTATTAGCCAAGATTTTCTTCTTGCATGTAGTCATTTAACTTAGCATCAGTACTGTATAAACAGAACAAGTTCATTAATCCTGCAATAATAGCTAGTGTGTAACCTTGGGTTCTTCAGCAATGTACAAATGTTTGACAAAAGACTAACTAGGACAATTAAAACAGCATCCTTCATCAAAATAAAACAGTTGCAAAGAGCCGTTTGCTATTGTGTAACTATCAATCAAGCACAGCTGAATGTGAGCTAATAGACATGTCACTGTCATTCTGCTTCCTACAGAGAGGAAGAATAATAGCTGAGAAAGGGCAGGAACAGGAACACCTGGAGTAGATAATTGCTTGCTGCTTACCGGCCTCTCTGGCTCTATTTTGAAGTTTGATACAAT